AGTTTTCATCGTGTCTTCTGACTGCTAGTTGGTGTTCATGGATGCAATCTGCTAGTCTTCTGCCTGTCTGTCCTACATAGTGATTGGTACAGTCCTTACACTGCATGTTGTAGATGACTCCTGTTTTTTCTTCTTGGGCTACTGGGTCTTTTGGTTTGCTTTAAGATGTTTATTTGTAGAATTAAGACTACTGTTAGGAGTAAAATATAAACTTTATGCCTGCATTATAGAAATGTGCCTTGTAATTCTGTGTTTGGTTTCATCATTTTTCCAGATCTTACGTTCAATTGCATTTCCAGCATCAGAATAAGGAAGTACTTGACATTCTTTTGTCCATGATAGCATCTAGGTTCCATCCAAATGGAACCAATGGAGGACATTATATTATAAGATATTAACAGTGCCTTTGGTATTTAACACTGTTTTAAAGTCAATTCTCTTAATTATCTTATAAAACAATTTATATTTGTGACTAATACCTTCAATAATTGTGAAGTTTAGAACCAAGTGCTATAATATATCAAAGGTAATATGTAAGATTCTGCAATACATAAGAATCACTATGTATATTTATGTAGCAAATGAAACATAAACTCTTAATACTGTGATGTTAAAATAATCTACTTTATAATTCTTGTTAGACTGTTCCTGCAGAGGGGCTTGTGTCTATATTAAAAAAAAGAGATGAGAATGAAGGAAAAACACTGGCTCAAATCCAGCAGAGACAGTCAAAAAGAAGAGTGAGATTCCAAGAAATGGAAGAAACATTAGAACAAGGTACCTTGCTATACATTAACTTTAACCCCAGAATTGTATAATCACATGAAATATAAAGCTATAAATATTCAAGTTATGTTTATGTGCCATATCTGCTTACATTCCAAGGGACAGTAATAGAGGGATAGGTTGCTCTGAACTATAGGAAATGCACTTTCATATAAACATTGTGTTGCACTGTTTTGTGGGAGATGGATCATCCTATGAGCCCTCACCCTTTTTGAGCTGGTGGCTACATTTGGAATACTGAGCATATGTCATGGGCACTTTCACAATGGACAGGGCCAAATAAAGCTTTGGCTTAGCTCAAGTGGAAAGTCTTGGACCTTGACATCCAAAAAGATAGATCTTCAGTATCATGAGCTCATGGGTTCTCCTTATCTTATCTTATTCTTCATGTCCCATATAGAAGGGGATTATCTTATTCTTATTCTTATCTTATTCTTCATGTCCCATATTTTATTCTTATTCTTATCTTATTCTTCATGTCCCATATAGAAGGGGATTTATATTGTTGTGATTTGATGCCCTGCCCTCACTGGTTACTAAAGGTAAAGATAACATTCCTTACTAATGTCACCTTTGCACATGCTTGGACACACATCAGTTCATGGCACAAGTGTTATTAGACTGTTCCCTATATTACACCTGGCCCCTTCATCTAACTGAATCACTTATTACTAAGCTTTCCCACCTATTGCAACCAGTGATTATAAAGTAGCTGCTGCAAGATCAGCATTCTAAAGCCATGGCTGTGGCCATTAGAAATAAGTGGGTTTGTTCTACAACCAGCCAAGTCCAGTTTTTCACTTTTCCATCTACTTACATTTGTTGAGAGAGAGAGAAATTCCACATTTAAAACATAACAGCACAGCAGTATTTCCAGTGCAGCTGATTGGGATGATATCATATATTGAAATATTTATAGACCTCATAAATTCAATATCAAAGCAGTTTATAACTTTACTATTAAAAGTTAAATAAATGAAACAGTCCAATAATAGAATCAAAAATATTTGTGTGGAGGTAATATGTTTAAGTGAAAAACCAGCATAAAAATACATAGATTTTATTTTTCCAGTCATTAATAAATGAGATAAAATTATACAGGTAGTCCTTGGTTAATGATGGTAACTGGACCAGAATTTCTGTCACTAAGCGGTGCAATTATAAAGTGCAACATCAAGTGACCACGCCATGGCAGTTCTGGCACTTCCAGTTGCCATAGTTAAGTGAATCCCATGCCATTGTTAAGCATGACATCACGTGGTCGTCATTTGCTACCTCCTACTAGCTTCCCCATTGACTTTGCTTGTCAGAAGTTGGCAGTGAAGGTCACAAATGGCAATCAAGTGCCCATTGATGCTGTGACATCATAACTGCGAGCTGGTCACCAAGTGCCCAGATCGCAATCACATGACCATGGGGACGCTGCATCGGCTGGAATTCTGAGGCCCATCATAAGAACTACTCATTCAGGGCCGTTGTAAGTTCGAACAGTCATTGAATGAGTGGTTATTAAGTGAAGACTACCTGTAGAAGCAAATTATGAATAGAAATAATTAATTTGCAATTATTTTATTGTGCACATTTTCTTCGGTGAAAGCAAAAGAAGAAACCCTATTGTTTAATTCTTTCTTTGAGCCAATACTGACATCTTTAGCTTTGCTCTGTCTTGGTAGAGGAAGTTGCTCATTTTTGGCATTTGTTTGGCTATTTCAGTGTTGAGGATTGTATACTGTACAGGTAAGTATTTAAGTTATCTGTGATTTTATTAACTCTGTGTCATCCATCTTCTTTTTACAGAGGAGGTTGGAGCTGGCTCCTGCATTTTGCTGATCTTACTCTGCATAGCAACTGTATTCCTTAGTATCGGAGGAACAGCATTGTACTGTACACTTGGCAACGCAGAATCCCCAGTATGTACTGACTTTGCTGCCAATGTGGACTTTTACTGCAGCCGAATACAGCAGGGTATAGAAGAAATTAAACACTGGATATGTTTATAATAGAAGAAGAAGTATGAACATATAGTAATAGTTTGCTGTTGCAGAAGGAAGAAAAATAGTTCAAGCATTTAATAATCTTGGCACTTTCAGAAGTAACATAACATAGGAAGCATCTGTATTGTACATAGGAGATACTTTCCAATAATCTGGAGTGTATAAATAGAGTTATTGATCAACTTTCATGAGGCAGCATAAGAGACTGTCCTAACGTTCACCTTTTGAAATGCTCAGAACAATTTTCTGTTTACCAACTTAGGAAAGAAAAAGGTGACCATATTTCTTAAAATTTCCAATCCTCATACAATCATATGCAATCTGTGTAAACTTCAATGCAAAACAGCTGATTTTCCTTACATCATAATGCAAAGATATTGTCTCCAATTATCATGCAATAAGTTAATATTTAATGGAAACAAACCTTGTTTGGGAATAATGTATTTTATGTTTTTAATTTGATGATGATGAATTGTAATTGGTTGTGGCAATGCCACAAACAGCAAAGCTCTCCATTTAGATGTTATTGAATTGTGCTGCATTTTAGAATGTAGCAGTTATAATAAGTGGTGCATTCGTTACTTTCATATACAGCCTTGGCAAAATATGTGGAGACTTTTAGTAATATATACCTTAAAATGGATTTATAAAACAGGTTCTCTATACAAAACAAAACATAAAATATATCTGAATACATTTCAGTGCCATTAATAACCGCCCAGGGTCAGTTGGAGTAAGGTGGCATCCAAATTGAATAAATAAGTCATGATCCACATCTTTTAAAAAGGGTTCACACGTTTAATTTTTTAGATCCATTTTTATGATATTTTAAGTGTTCATCTAACACTGTAAAGTGTGAACACAATAAATACGTTTACAAACACTGACATAAAACATCTGAACTTGACAGAGCAGATACGTTTTTCCTCTGACTGTGGTCTTAGTAACAAAAGTGGATTTCTTCTCTACGACAAGCCAAAATGGGCCGTGGATAATATCAAATCTTCTTTTGGTTTTATTAAAACTACTGATTTATATTAGTCCACATTATGAAGAAAAAGTAAACTCTGAAAAATCGTACCTTAGAATGAAGATATAAATTATTCAGTTGAATACCAGGCATATATTGTAATTTCTTTGTTTCATTGTTGTGAGCCTCCCAGAATCAATGAGAGTCAGGTGGCATACAAGTTTAATAAATAAATAATAATAATTATTATTATTACTATTATTATATGCCTCAATAGGTGAAAAGAAGACCCACTAATAACAGAAGCAACCCAAACTCTGCGATTGTATCAGCAGAATGCTCTCTCCCTGCGATATATAATTCCACAATTGACTATTTTGTTTTGATCTTAGATTTGATTGTATCAGCAGAATGCTCTCTCCCTGCGATATATAATTCCACAATTGACTATTTTGTTTTGATCTTAGATTTGATTGTATCAGCAGAATGCTCTCTCCCTGCGATATATAATTCCACAATTGACTATTTTGTTTTGATCTTAGATTTGTTATCCCAGTTACTAAACTTTTTTTAAAAAATTCAAAGGCATAACTGTGTTAGTCTGTGCAGGAAAAACATTCATGTTTTTGATACCCTAGAGTTGTAACTATTTCTAAAGCCATATGCTTTTAAAAATTACTTGTAATCTGACTGTAGCTATTTAGCTGCATAATGAATCAACTGTAGTCCATCTTAAAATAATGTCACATCCCACTCCGTTTGCTTAGAGACCACCACCCAGTCTAAAACAGCTTCTTATCATTAACCACAAACCATGCTACAAAGATACTCCATGAATGACTTACTCCAATAATTGCTCTGGCAATGTAATTGTAGGACCTAATAATGTCACTTACATATGAAAGCTACATAAATTTGCTAATCTTTCAGTATGGTTATGTGCTATTATTATCCACAGGATGAACAACAGAGTTGCTGTGCAAAATAATGTATAGGCATAAATCTGACAGCAGAAATGGTAATATTGAGAAACTAATGGAGAACACTTTCAAAACTTCAACGTCCATCAGGCACTCTTCTGATATTTTGAACCAAATAATTACATGAGTTTTGTTGCGAAGTAGTATTTACAATCAATCAAGATTTCTGCATGTTGTGATTTGAATTTCCTCAATCTAATTCATGTTTTTCAAGTATGTAGTCATGGACCAATTGTACAAAGTTTATACAGAGAAATAGGCAAAACAATCATTTTGTTTATTACTATAAATAAACAATTTATAGAAGTTATAAAGAGTATTTATCACATTAAGTAAGGGATTCCCCTTTACAATCATTTGCCATGCTTTTAAGTAGTTGGTCCCTAACTTTAAGGCTTCCATGGCAAAAGACGCTATACACCAAGATCTAGGCAACATGATCTAATAAAAAAAAATGCATTGCCCTCATTAGAATCTAGATTACTGAAGTCTAGAACCTTACAGATTTTTACAGCATGGATGAATATATGGAACAGTGAAGCAAATAGGAAAATGCATTTCAATCCCAGATTGGTAGTAAATGAGCCTTGCAGCAATAAAAACTTTTTATATTTCCTCTGGTTTGCAACCTCTGATACAGTTTGTGTCAGCCCTTCAAGTTAGACCAGACTAGGAAACCTGAGTTATGAATGCTAATACTACTTTTATTATAAGGTTACAGTAACAGAATCTTATAAGTCTGTATGTGCTTCCCCCCTCCCTCCCTTTATCTTCATGAGAACTAGGGAGGGTCATGTCTGAGATGCTTTCTCAAATTACATTTCTGCCCTCAACTCAGATTCCTTTTATCTGACCGCTGCCTTGGTTGCGACTCTTCCTCCTGTTCCTCAAGGTTATTCCTACTGCCAATTATAGTTTGAAATCTTAGAGCCATTAAAGCTGGCAGAGTATCTTAGGGCCATTAAAGCATAATTTATAAGAAATTATATCAACCAAGTCTGATTTCAGGTAGTCCACTCTTAGCAACTACAGTTGGGACCAGCAACTCCATTGCTAAATCTGTGGTCGCTAAGCGAATCATCATGTGACCACAACTTATGATTTTATTTCCACATTCTCCATTAACTCACTTGTTGCAAGCTGGTTGGGAAGCATGCAAATGGCAATCACAAGACTGCGGGATGCTGCAACAGTCGTAAATGCGTGCTGGTTGCAAAGTGCCTGAATAACGATCATGTGACCATGGGACACTTTGACAGTTGTAAATGCAAGGATTAGTTGCAAAGCTTTTTTTTTTTACACCATTATAACTTTGAACAGTTGGTAAACAAGGCAGTTGGTAAGCGAGGACTACCTGTAATTCATGGGGTTTTTTTCATATTATTGTGCCATATGATAAATCTAGGAATTGTTATGATTTGCCTGCCAACCTTAAAATCATATTCTAGAAATCCAGTCTCTAAGGGTAGCATAATTCAGCAGAAGCCTATCAATAGATGGGAGAGAAGTAAATAGTGATGATCATGCTTTTTTGTGCTTAAGTGCTTTGAAGTTCTAGTTAGCCAGAGATTATCCTTTAATAAAATATATTTTTAATATTAATAATGGTTTTGTGAAGCCAAGCTTTCACTAAATGTTGAGTAAGCTTTATTTTAACCCAATGAAAGGAGGAGAAAATTATGTGAAAGTTAAGCAGGAACATATTAATATAAAAATTAAAAATTAAGAGTACTAAAAATCATCCCTGTATCATCTCATCTTGAGTCATATCATTAGATAAAAGACCAGCTAAACTTATTTTTATGTTTGTAAAGGTATGTAAATGAAGTCAGTGAGAATGGAAGAGGCTTGTCTCTGTTAATTGCTGCTAATTTGTCCCACTTTATTTACACTTTATTTACACAGAGTTAGGAGCATCTTCCAAATCCACCAATGCACATACTGTACTAGTGAGGCAGAATTAGAAAATGGTCAAGAGTAACATCTCTGTTCAGAGCAGGTAACACAGCTTTTACCCAGTCTTCCAGCTTCTCCAGCAGTAAACATGAATACAGCCTGGTTGGCATATTCACTAGATAAACTGGGCAATATTTATCTGGATTTTGTTTGTTGCCTTTTTTGTAAATAGGGTTTGTTATACCAAGGGTCCAGGCCATCTGATCATATGTCTAGTGCATTTAAACATTTGAACAATTTAGCAAAGAGTGGCTGCTATCCTTTTGCTAAATACCTTAGGAGGCAAAACTAACCTGTGCAAGAATGCATAACATCCAACAACTACTTTGTTACTGACCATTCTTACAATAACAGTTACTACCTGGAGCTTCTGCATTTCTTACGTCCTTCTGACTTCACTGCTTACAGTGCTCTCACCACATGTATGCATATGCATATACTGTATATGCTCATCTCAAGATAACATTGCATGTATCTGATAAGTGAAACATTATGTCATAATAAATGTATTAAATATTAAAATAAAAAGGGACTAAACAAATTAAAAATAAAAAGAATAAACAGAAGTAGCAGCAGCTGAACTTTATTGGCATGCTGTCATACTTTTTTCCTTAATCTTTAGGGCTATGGGCTCTAAACTTCCTACTTTCAGTGAACATTTTTCGCTGTGGAATCTGCTGGCAAACCCTCTGCATTTGGTTGAAAAACTCAGAAAACATTTAGAAAAAATGTTCTAAAATGCATACTTGAAGCAGAATATAGCATGCTTGCCATCCCTGTGGGTGAAATCTTGTGCCTTAAATTTTACCTATATGAGCCCTGGTTCTGCAGTGGAGAAGATCTGATATTATAAACAACTATATTTTGGGCAATCTGTTTCCCTAATTCACTGAAGAATTTAGTTGTGTATTTCAGGGCTCCTAAAGAAGATATTTAAGTTTTACTGAAGAAGATACAAGTTTAATGTTGACTCAACAGTGGATAAAGCTGTCTTTGAAAGTAGAATTTGCTATATAAAAAAAGTTTAAGAAATGGCTTGATCTGTACTAAAAGTCTAGCATCATAACATATACTGTCTTGAGCTTCTTAATGAAAAAAAGTAATCAGCTAATGTTACTGGGCATTGTTTAAACTTCAGATGCAGTTAAATAGCTTTTTGAACATGACCATTGCAAATCATGTTTGTTATGTTTTTTATTATCTTTTTAAAAAGAATTTGAAATTGTTATGCTATGTCTCCCCTTTTTTTCAGCACTAGATATATCGGATCATTCCATCCAATTCAAGACATAATTGATTACTCCCAAGCATAATCTTCTCCATAGTGATTAGGACCAGCATGCAGTGATTTGAAGCATGTGTGGCTTTTAAAGCAGCCGCATCTTTTTCTAGGATCACATATTTGCCCTCTGCTGCTATAGCACAATCCCTGGAGAAGACATGGCTGCTTTAAAGGAATGATCTTATTTCAATTCCTTCTTAATCTGTCAGATGGAATTATAAAATCTAAATCTATCAAGTGGGTCAGTCAAACTATTTGTATTTTCACTAAAGTACTGTATAAAACACAAGTTCACACTAGCATTTAACATACATTTATTTTAGTTATTACATAATGAATACAGGAATTCATAAATACAGGAGGATTTTTTTTTCCTTTTTAAGAAGGAAGAAGCACTTATAAATATACATTTTTAAAATAAATATACATTTTTTTCGACAAACCTGTAATAAGTCTTTTTGGCCTTGCAGGATTTTTTGCTACTGTTATTGATCAGATGATAGGGAAATTAAGCCGTGGGTACTTTGTCTGTAGGGAGTAGACTTTATTCCACTGAAATTGTTACATATCTATTAGTCATGAGTGGTACACACTATACAAATATTTAGGCTTTTGCTATGCAAACAAAAAAATAATATGGCAAGTGAAATGAAAGAGTGACAGAGATATTCCAGAGTATGGACATAAAAAGCATTAATATATCTTTTTTACTTTTTAAAGAGTATCAGTCTTCATGTGAATTACTATTAGAGTTATTCATTTTTACTATTTTTTTCTTCCCATTTGCAGCTCAGCCTTTTCTCTGTGAAAAATAATAAACAGAACAAGCAGCATCACATTCTGTTTAATTAACACACCACACAAATACATAATTTCATTGCATCTCCTTTCCTTTCTTATTACTCCTGACTTAATCCCGCTCCTGCTTTCTAAGGTTCTTGGAAAGACAGTTTGTAGTTTGACTTCTGAGTAACTAATCTTGTAAATTTGTGTTGACACAAACTGCTTGCAGTGTTCCTGTAGCGTTTTAATTATACTGTGTTCTATTATACCTTGACCTAAGGTTAGGATCAAAAGAACTCCTTGGCTGTACTGTACACAAAGGCTTCTAGATATCCTTTAGAATTGCCCTGTTTATTTGTTGTTATTTTCTGCATGGAGTCTGCTGTTGAG